CCCCCCCCGCAAATCTCCTCTTGTCCTCTCCAAAGGGGTTGGGTGAGCTAAAGCTGTAATTTTTCTTTTTCATTTTATTATAATATACAACCCTTCCCTATCCTGTCTACTGTTTTTCCTGTGAGCTCTTGAGTCCAGAGGTCTGGAGTTGATGGGTGGATTAGTCTTCCTTCTACCACTACCCCCTTGCTCCCATATTCTAGTTGTAGCGTCTCCTTGTCAGCAGCACATTAAAATGAACCTCAGAGGAAAAGATATGCAAGCTCAGACCTATGAAGAGTGCTTTGTCATTAGGCCTTAAGTGTGTTTGCACGCTTCTGGTGAAGCTGCTCTTGTTTACCAGATTGCATCTTTACCATCAAGCGAAAGACTTTTGAGTGAGAGAGTAATGGGATTTCTGACTACACTTGGGGATTGGAATGGATAGCTGGCTTACCTTGGGGTCCTAAGCTAAGGTCAGAGGTTGCCCAAGGGACCTGTTTGTTACTCAGGTATCCTGGGGCCCCTTAAGAGACATTAACCTAGAGAGAGCTTTACATGGGGTGTATTAGAGCCTGCTGAGCAGCATGTCCCAAGTTTCCAAGTTCAGTGTTGCTTCAGGAGCTGACCCAAGTTACTTAGGTTCTGAAAATCATTAACAAGTTGGAAAATGGGAAAGTCTCTTTTGCTGTGTCAGTGGAGCAGAAAGAGAACGCCCTTGCTTGCTCGAAGGCAGAACAGCAGCCGGTGAGTGGTGATGGGGGTGGGAGGAGGAATGAACCACGTCTGGGCTGTGCCACAGATGCAACAGGAGGAGGAAGGACAAGAGTCAGGGCTCCTCTGGCCCCAAACCTACGATCGACTTAGCTAGTGGGTCGCTATCGCCTCTCCTTCAAAATAAGAGCTGCATGCCCCCAGGAGCACTGTGATGCTGGGAATGGTCCGGTTTCCTGATTGCTGTCATCACAAGCCCACAGTGGGAGGCTCACAGGGTTATATGTGGGGTCCCGGATGGTCTCAATGGATGAATTCCATCAAGAGGGATGTTTACTTGAGTCAAAGCCTCACTCTTGTCTTAACCACTGGCCAGAATCTTGGTTGGTAGCAGCAGCATGGCCTCCTGTGCCTCCTGTCAGCCAGGCTTGTGGGCATGTTCACAGATGCCTCCCCATGAGTTAATATGTGTGTTTAGTATGCACAAGGGCCTTTCACTCTTACACTTGCTATCAGCCCTCATGAAAAGCCCCAGCTTAGCAAGGTCCAATTAGTCCTCTTATTTGAGCATGGACCCCTGCTGCATTTGTGTGAGACAAATGCCTTTAGGCTTTTGTGGTAGGTGACACTCTGGCAAGTGTTCTCTTGACAAAGCTGGTTTGGATAAAGATACCCAAATTGTACGAGCTCCCAATCAAATGATTTTTAAAAAGTCCATGGCCAGTGAGATGACTCGAATCGCTGGCAACCTCCTGTCTGTCCGAGGAGAAGTGTACTCGAGAGGGTTTTCAGTGACTGATTTTCAAAAATAGATCACCAGTCTTTTCTCCAGTGTGCTTTGTGGTTGGGCTCAAACAGAGCTTAGCACGTTCCTGCCACAGAGCCACTCTCAGTTCAGGTTGCAAACTAGCTCCTGGGACAAACTGCAGCTCCTGACTCAATTGCCTGGTTTGCAATGGATGTGGTCATAGGAAACACAATGTTTGTGCCTAATGAAGTACAACGTTCTTTTCCCCACCCTGCAAATCCCGTTATCATTAGATCTCTTTTAAAAATTTGTGCTAAAAATAAATTTGTACTCAATTTTTATATTTCGAATTTTATTAATAAAAGCTTTCTTGAAAAAAGTTTCTTCTACCTTTGCAGTAACTATTTTGTCTCTTGACCGTCAAACCTATAATGCTTCTTATCTATCCAGGGACAGACAAAATGTGCTGACCATTGATATAAACCTCTCACACCCTTTATGTCTATTGAATTATTTGAAAGAAAATCTCAGATGATAAGGATGGTTTTAGCATACGCGCGTGCG